TAGCATTGTTGTATGTGAATTTTATCGCCTTATTAGCCATCTAAAGGAACATAATTCACTAACATTTCATTTGGTATTAACATATGTTGCTAAGAACGATCAGCGAATTGCTACGATTTGACATAGCGTATAAAAGAGAGAATCATTATTTATACAAACTCACTACAAATCAATAGCATCAAAATCGTTTGGAAACACGGTCAACTGGGAAAAAATCATAAACTAGTGTGCGCACCTAATGTTTAATAAAAATACACTTTGAAACTGCCATTAAGTGGATGGAGACAAAAAAAATGACAGGAAATTATTGCAATAAAAGACAGTCCGTGGAGAAAAAGTAGACGACGTTTGAATTGTTTTATACGCGATTGCGGAGATGTTAAGTGCAAAAGCTACAGTATTTTGCAAACATTGATTTGTATGATTTTTGTGCCAATCTAAGGATTTCCCAGCAACGATTGTCATTCTTTATATAGCAACATGCCTCCTCATAACTATAGGGTTAATCCTACTCAATAAAACTTGTAACTCAAGGGAACGCAAATATATTTTTTTTATTTGTAATCAACTTTCGATGAAAGCATTATGTTTCTCAACGACCTTTGATTAGAAATTCTTGGTGCAAGTGCAGAAAAAGCGTAGATACAAGCGAAATTTTAAAAATGTCGTTAAAAGAAACAATGAGTAAGGTTGAGTAGATCTTATCATGTGCATACCTGCATCCTCAAAACTTTAATATTTTTGGTTCTTACTTATAGATGCAATATTTACAATTTAGATCTACTCAGCTATAGAACAAGCGTTAACAGATGCAAATTAACATGCGTAGACATGGCAAATGAAATCTCATAGAGATGACGAAGCGTACAAAGCAGATTTGCGAATTATCACACAAATCACTTCTTCTTCAACTGGTCAAATCTTCTCGCGAGTTCATCAAAATCCAAATCACCGCCATTACCGCCACTGCCGCCATTATTACCAGGTGGACCTCCAGCGAAGGTACTTGGAGGTTCGGGGAAAGTCCAATCTAAAAATTGATAAAATTTATTGAAACACTCGATATGGGCGCTAAAGCTGTGTACATCATAACGTGTTTATGACTCTAATACACGGAAAGTGGGAGTTGTTGGCTTGCCTTAAATAGTTGCTACTCTTGAGCAACACGGAATTTTTTTCAGAGCACTAGATATGCGCTTGTACCATACGCATGACAAAATCTGTTTAAACCTCTATCT